TGACCAAGGCCACTGGGACACACAGTGGGTTACATTCTTTGTGGTTTCAACCTCCAACTCCATTTGTTAAATTCAGAGTGTATGTTACTTGACCATGCATTTAATGTGGTTCTTACCCCAGATTCAATTTATGCCACAAAAATAAGTATAAAAATATAGATTTTTTAAAAATTTTAGTCATTTTGTTTCTCGCTACAGCTGGAGGTGTTACTAACAAGACAATGAACAAGAATCAGTTAAGTATTCTACAGCTGACATCCATTGCAATGTCTTGCATGCTCATTATAACTTGAGGTAAAATATTGATTTATTATTGTAGACCAGGTGTGCAAGATCTAGCAACATATCAATAGATGACTGAAAATAAATTATCTTCCACATTTTCCATTAAATCTGTAAATGCCTTTAAATGCAAGAAATTGTTCAGATGATCAAAGTTATGTTATATACATATTAAGAAATATATACAGTCTTTCATAGATATTAATTCACTGGCAAATTCCCAGACTTCTGCAGTTCTTTAAAAATACAATTGGGAAATAAAAGTAATAATTTTGATCTAAATGTATTCTTAAAGGAAGAAATGGAGAGACAGAAGTGTACTTCTGCCCCTGAGAATGTGTCAGGCAAAATTATTCTATTCAGCCAATAATTTGGTGTAGAAAACCTTATCTCACTGAAGTCAACAGTAATAGGACTGAATTTTTAGTTTTAATTCTTCCTTGAGTGTGAAATTTGCACTTGCACAGAGAGACAGGATAAGGCTAATGCATCGCTTCAGTCTCTTGTAGACTTTACCACACATCTCTTCCCTCTTTACTGGAACACAATTTACAAGTTGTCTGTACCCATCTATGTGAGGGTAAGCTATTTTCTAATCAAAGTCCTATTGTAAGAACAATTCTAGAATTCATTTATTTCTTTTAATAAACAGAAAATACAACACTTTTTAATCAAGATATCGTTAAATGCTTGAAAACACTTTAAATTTTCTGGAAACAGACTTTGTCCCTGAGGCCCAGTTTTGCCTTCACTAGTTACCTTGTGCAGAACACAGAGTCTACATGACTTTCCTCCTCTTTTTTCTTAAAGTGTCTATATCTGATATGCTCATACATATACTTTTACATAATGGAAATAATTTCCTCAAAGATGCATAAATCTGCACAGAGCTGATATGTTTTTGCTGACTGTACTTTCAAATCATGTTATAAGCTTATCACCTATCTTGACAGTTAGTTATATTTTAAATTGCATTTATAATTTTTTTTCTTCAAATGTAAGTTGAAGCAAAATTGATTTTGGATTACAATAAGAGAAGAGAGAAAATTAATTTAAGGTTTTTGATGTAGGTAGATGGATACATTACTATATGGAAAAATAAAATGTTGCTACATGAAGAGGTTTCACCGTGCAAGAGCTGCATTTAGTCATCTAAATTAATATAAAAGTTACGTATTTGATCCATTTCCAAGTAAATTTAAATTTTATTAATTTGATTGATTTCCAAGTCAACTCAAATACAATGCTTTGTAGTAATATCTGGTATAAAAAGAGGCATGAGTTGTTGTCCAAACATCAGGACTCAATTAAATAGCAGCACCTGCCACACTAAATAGCTCCATTGGCCTTGCAGACACCATGCAAAGCAGGATCCTATTCAGAAAATGTTGTGGTAGAATCCACACCTAATAATTCATCACTGTTCAAAATTTTTGCATCATTTTTGAGGAATGACCAAATTTTGGAAGACTTCTTACTTTGAACAATGCATTACTGCGTTCCAGTACTGTGTTCAGCTCTGAGGTCCCCAGCATAAGAAAGATATGGACCTACTGGAGTGGGTCCAGAGAAGGGCCACGAAGATGATCAGGGGGCTGGAGCACCTCCCCTATGAGGACAGGCTGAGAGAGTTGGGGTTGTTCAGCCTGGAGAAGAGAAGACTCCGGGGAGCCTCATAGTGGCCTCCCAGAACTTAAAGGGGGCCTACAGGAAAGGTGAGGAGGGACACTTCATCGGGGAGGGTAGTGATAGGATGAGAGGCAATGGTTGCAAACTGAAAGAGGCGAGATTTAGATTAGAGATTAGGAAGACATTTTTTACTGTGAGGGTGGTGAGGCACTGGCCTCAGGTTGCCCAGAGAAGCTGTGGCTGCCCCCTCCCTGGCAGTGCTCAAGGCCAGGCTGGATGGGGCTTTGAGCAACCTGGTCTAGTGGAAGGTGTCGCTGCCCATGGCAGGGGGGTTGGAACTAGATGGTCTTTGAGGTCCCTTCCAACCTAAACCATTCTACAATTCTATGTTTCTATTCTATTACTTGTGCGAGCTTCATTTAGGATAGTTGAGGCGATACCAGCACAAGCATTCTTAAAAGTGAGGTTTAATTTTTAAACTGCAGAGATAATTTGTAAAATGACGTCATAAAAATTTCAAATCTTCTTCCCATGAGTATGCAGAATGACAGCTGCTCACTTCTGCAGCCACAAAAGTGGTTCCGATGTTTAGATTTGTTTTATGGAGCTAAAACAATAAGGGGAATTTGATCCAAATTCTGGACTCTATTCAGACTCATGTCAACAAGTGATATACAAAGGTCAACCAATTTACTTCTAATACTAGTTCATCTACAAGTCAGCCAACATATTTTGACTTTCAAGTCACAAATTAAATATACATAGCAGTCAAAAAAAGCAGGATTGTCAATGAAGCAAACTTTGTGTCCTTTCCTGCAATTTTCCCAGACTCTTGAAACTCCTTATTTATTCTGCAAAAAGTTTCACATGCAGACATAAATGTATGTTAGTTCTGTGTTCAGTACCTTGGTGTGGAAGTCATGAAGAAAGACAATACATATCGAAACTGTGCCAGACTTACAAACTTATGTTTGAAGTAAAACCTACATATTAATAATTGCTACTTTTAGCTACAGGTTAAATTTGTCCCATCTCTTTCTTACTCTTATTCACAAAGTTTTCAGCTTTCATCAGGCTACTATTCTATGAGTCCTAGGCTACTGATCTTCAAAGATTATCAGAAATTATCTGAAGAACACGAAAGAAACTAGAAGAATCATCACATTTTTTACTTTGTTGTGCTTTACATAGACCTTCAGCAAGCAAATAAACATTTGAAATCCTGCGGTTCTTTGATGCTTTTTTATATGTATAGCAACATAAGGGTGATGTTTAATATGTCTTTCTGGCTTCAGGAACAGTATATTGCCTGTACAAATTAACACTACCACAGAAATTTTTTTCATAATTGCCAGGTCAGGAAACCCAAACTGAAATGTAATAGCAACCTGAATTCCTTGTTTTCCTATTTCAATACCTGACACGGATTTACCAGAGGCCTGTCTCCTCTCCCTGAACAGTGTTATTAAGAGTAATGTGCATTTCAGGTCTAATGATAAAATAACCTCATTGACTGTGTGTTTGCACACAGATCCCTAATCTAATTTAGCGATAATACAAACCACATTGTGTAAATTATGATGATGCTTGGGCATTGGACTAGATGACCTTTAAAGGTCCCTTCCAATGCAAACTATTGTATGATTCTGTGCTGTGGAGTATAGCCCAGATTGTGATCTGATCTGTATGCTCACTGTTACAATGTTCTACCTGAAAAATAACAAATCCAGTTTGAATTTGAGCTGAGTTTGAAAAGAAAATGGAAATTCATCCTTTTATTTGATGAACTGTGCAAATACGAACTGTAGGTACGCTAATTATGGGATTGAGATCCCCTGTCTTTGCCTGAAATGTGTGTACATGAGCTGCCTGATCTCCATTACAGTCAATGAAGGTACAATCAGTGAGTTCTGTCAATCAGTTCCCCTGACCAATAAAGATGCCTGTTTCAAGACAAAATTAATAATTTTCTAGAACTTCATGGATTACAGTAGGAATTCAGAAAATAAATTGTGTGGAAATGCCTATACGGGAGACATCCCAAATTAGGCAAGGTAAATCCCCACCTAGCTATCCAAAGTGAGATGTTTGAGCTCCTTCTAAAGTCCATGAAAGGAGACCAGCACCTCCACAAAGCAATTAATCTCATCTTTGGATGTGCGTTTGTCATCACAGGTGGAAGGAAACATATCTCCACTATAGGGAAACTTGAAGGTTAGTTTGGATTAGACACCAACAATGGGGTTTTTTAAGATTAGACATAGACGTGTGAGGCAATTATCTCAGCTACCATTACAGTCAAAAGGGCTTCTTCTTTTGGCCTGGCACCATCTATTTGAGATGATCTAGAATATCCTGCCTGGTGTCCAGATGCCACTCCAGATCACAGGTCATATGCCATAATTTCCAGCCTGTTGGAAATATGTAAGGTGTGCTAAAGTGCATCAAATTACATTGGAGGTATATATTTAGGTAGATAAATGGGAGTGCAATGAAAATTCATCCTTTCTAAAGGAAGAATATTGTGTAAAGTGAATGTGTAAGAAATCCACCATTTGTATTATATTATCTACCATAAAATTGACCACAAAAGATGAACAGAGTAGATACACTGTGTTCCAAATCTCAGTGTACGTGAGTATGAAAAACCTGTGAGGAAAGGCTCTAATGTCAATAATTGCTTTTACACAAATACTCTTCTCTCCAATTTACAAGTTTGACTCACAGATTCTACTGCTGCCACCAGTACACACACAGAAATGTGATGTTTGGCTTATGTGTAGAAAACAGAGTATCTGCTTCATCGTCTTTGTTCAGATGCAGGAGGGAGGAAAATATCGCTCCATGGCCTTGATGAGCTGCTGTGCCTATAGACAAGTACCTTCACTACATCTTCTAAGAAATGAATCTTGATCTTGTACAAAGAATGCAAAACTCCCACTGAAGTAATAAAAAGTCTCATTCATATGTCTGGGAGCAGAATTCAGCTCTCAGAACTAAAACAGCTTGCACTCACCTGTTGCTTTAATGCATTTTCTGAAATGCATTTTCAATTGATATCTTGTATAAATCATGAATTGAGAGTAATGTGCTTTATCAAGAAGACAGTATTCCAGTCACGAAGCGCATTCAAATGAAAAGCCCCCAAAAGTAAGCAAGAATGACCAGAATATTACAACTATATTCTTGGGTTTCTCCATGACAAGCTCTTGCACTGACTATTACACATTTACAAGGTATCAGTTTTCATTTGGTCATTGTTGTTTAAAGCAGGAGAAGGCTTGCTCTTCTGACCATCAGTTCCTCCTTTGGATGTGTCCTGGAAGAAAAGCCTTGGCATCCACAGTGACATTAAAATTCGTTTGTATTCATTCCGAAAATTCTGATTAAGAAGTCCATATATTATTGCATTAAGGCAACTGTTGAAATAGGCCATGAAGTAGCTTATAATGAATAACCACTCAGGAACTTTTGGTGCCATTTCCATAGGATCAATGGCTACAGCCAGTCCAATGAAGTTTAGAGGTGCCCAGCAAAAGGCAAAAATCACAAAAACCACAAACATGGTAAGAAAGTTTCTGAAATCACTTGGCTTCAGTCCTGGCTTTGTTTCTGACTTGACTCGTCTTCTAACTTGAAGCACTAAAACCCAAATTCGAAGGTAGCAGAAGCTCACAATGGTGATAGGGACGATGAAGTGAATTACCACAACAGCTATCGTATAGTAGGAACTTGCAGTCTGAACAAACGTGCATGAATAGATGCGTGGATCATATTTTAAAGAGCCAACAAAAAAATTTGGCACAGTCGCAATTACTGTTAATACCCAGACTAAGGAGACATACAGCATCGTGTTCCAACAGCTGTACACTTTGTCATAGGCAAAACTATGACATATATAGCAATATCGATTTATTGCAATTGCAGTGATGTTGAAAATAGAGCCTATTACACTTAGTCCCATCACAAAGCCACTCACTTTACAGTGAATTTCACCCAATGTCCATCCATTGTGGAAAATAGCTAAGAGCACCAGTGGGTATGGATACAAGGCCACCACCAGATCAGCCAAAGCTAGGCTCACCACAAATGCATTACCTGGGGAAAAAGAAAAATACATAGACATAAGTCTGAAAGCAAGGATAGTTGTGAATGAGAAGAAAATACTATTTATTATTTTGAATATCTGCAATGCTATAGTACCGATGATGTCAGCAAGTGACAGGTATATAGGACCAATATGTCTGTATGGGAAATAATTTTACAGTTCAGCTTAGAACACCATGCAAATATCTGCAGCAACAAGATATTTCAACTCTATTGGTAACTGAATTATATCCTCCTTTTTATTTTAATCTTTAATAAACATAACCATCAGTGACCCATTACATAAGCATGTGTTGAGTTGTTTCAGTGTAGCTAACTCTACAGCTGGATCGAATGAGGTGGAAAAGAAAAAAAGTCTAAATTGTGCTAAGTAGACAAGCCATTATGCCATCCTAACCTACTGCTGGAATAGTAACGGGCTTGACAGGTATCAAGGAGAAGGATATACAAAGACTAGATCTATAGGGATTAGAAGGATGTGTTGTTCTAAGTATATTCTAAACTGCTACGCAATAGTCAGTGGTACAGATATTTTCTGCATGAAAGGCCTACCCATACTGCTGTTATTTTCGCATTGGATTGACTAAAGAAGAATGAATTGCCTTCACCATCCTCTGTAGAAAAACATATTTGATTATATAAAGGAAAAATGCATGAATGCAAGAGAAAGTATTCAAATTCATGGAAGGAGCCTGTAGACGCTTTTCTGCTGATGATGTTTAAAGAAATTTTAGTGATAAGTTTGAGGCTTACTGTCTTTCTTTAAACAGTGTATTTTTCATCAGTCTGAAAATTCTGGCCGTCGTATCTAAGCATACTTTAATAAAATAGCGAGATAGTGAACTATATTCCTGAAAAATTAAATGTGAAATCATTCTCTAGGAACTTCCCAGGAGATAGAAAATAGAGGTACTAACTTTAGATTCTTGGCATTTAGGTAGCACAAAAGACATTTCTGGTTTGCATACTCACTTTTTTGCTTAAAGTACTTCACTGCATGAATAGCTGTGCAAAAGACCCAAGTAGCTTTTAAAATTGTGTGTGGAACATAATTATTTTTTTAAAACAGCAGTTAGATACTCAGTTCTAGAAATTCTGAACTTTCTAGTCCTCATCTAGGAAAGCAGTTCTCTATTTAATTTTAAGTACAGAAACAGTGCCGTGGATAAAGATGTCATTAGCTGGGAGCCGTAAAACCAACAACCATGTAGGGCTAAACTCCTCAAAAAATGGCAGAAGTCCACATGTATGCTGTTTGCTCCACCTGCTCTGCACCAGTAGCTTGCTTAACCTGAATTAAGGAATGGGGACTCTTTTTCTCCCGTACACTTTAGGTGAAGACCATGCTCGTCAGAATTTGCACAATAGCTAGTGAACTTAACAGAAAGCGGGATCACCCATCTGTGGCTACAGACACATGGCTCATCTCAAGAGTGTTGTACAACTTATCCTAGATGGTTCCTCATTATATATTTAGCAGCCTGTCTCACATTCTCTTTGTACTCTAAAGGCCACACAAGTGTCTTCATAGCTACAGTTCACTGACATGGTACTGGATGTAGGGCAATTTCATGCTATTTGTCTTAGAGGCATGATATAAAACCAATAGTACTGTGTCGGGTTTTGTGCCCTCCCAAGCCACAGTCACTCCCTACTTTTAGGGTCGAGGGGGTCTATCTGAGTATGTTGTTGGAGCTGCACAAGGAGACCTTTCCTGCGACTTTATATGCACTATACTGAATACAATTCAGTCATGTTATGCTGTGGTGAAAAAGGTAAACATAATTTTCAGCTGCAAAACTGTATAAAGTAATTTCTCTGTCTTATTTAAGGCATTAGAAAAATACCTCCAGTTTGGGACGTCACACTTCAAGAAAGAAGCAAACTCTAATTAGAGCTAATCTAGAGCAAAGCAAATATCTACTAGTTTTACGATCCGTGAGAAAAGAATGAACAAACTAGGGAGAAATTGAGGGGGACACGACAACTTGAAAAAAGCAAAGCAGGAAGGATATAATCCTTTCCTGTGACTGTGGTGAACATATACAAGCTTCAGTCACAACAAGGAAGTTTCAAATTAGATGTTGAGAAAAAATTTTAATGGCAAGAAGAAGGAAGTGCTGGAACATCTTGCTTTGAGTCTGCCACTGGAGGGAGTAAGAAAAGTGAAATAAACATTTGTTAGTACAAGCCTAGATACAGCTGATCCCTGTTTTGGAAGGATAAGATGACTTTGAAGGCTTCTTCTAACCATACAAAGGAGCAGGAGCATCTTATGAGAATGTATCTACATCACAGCAACAAGAATTTCTTTTGTGTTTTTTCTTACTGTATTAGACATGAGAAGATGGAAAAGGCAGGAGAAGGAAAGGCAGGGAAAGACAGAAAGGCAGAGAATGACAGAAAAGAACGGAAGGAAGGGCGGAAGGAAGGGCGGAAG